GAGCCCTTTGCAGACGTCAGTCGGAAGGACAGGCGATAACAGCATTTTGCTGTCCTGTCTAAGCTTTTTCTTTTGTTTGGACGGGACGTGGGGCAGTGCCAAAAGCAGCCCGGGTACTTCTGTGCCAGGTGCAAGCGGTCCCTCTGGCTCCCGGGGGATCCAGCAAACTGATCTCACACAGCTCCACAAAGGAGAGAGAGAAGAAACTGTCCACTAAATATTCTGCAAAAATGCCAACCATCTTCAAAGCATTCCCTGGACTCGCCCTGCCACAGCCACTCCAGCGATAACAGCCCCGACATCCCTCCGACCAGAGGACCCAGAAAGGGTTTCCATGGGAGCCGACATTCCTCTGGGGCTGAGTCATGGAAGAGCAGAGGATTGTGGAAGGAGGGGCTTGAAAAAACAGTTTGAAAAGTTTATTTCTCCTCTTCCCCCTCCCAACACCACCCGCATCCCTGCTCCTGCCTAGGTGGCAGACAATAGCTTGGCTTTAACTGCTGCACAGAACCCAACAGCCTTTTATTTCCACGTAAAACTCGCCGGATCGACCCTAACAAACGGCTGCGATTGAACTGTTGCCCTTTTGGAGGGCTGCGGAGTTTTTGGGCTGGTTCAAATTGGTGGTAACCGAGGATTCGGAGTACTGACGACCTTCCCGGGGTCCCCACTTTCACTCCAACTTGAAACTGTTGCTTTTTGGGTTGGGTGGGAATTCAGCCCCCATCCTGTTAAGTTTTCATTTCTTGGCTGGATGCAACAGAGTGGAGCTTTCTTAGATAGAGGAGGGACACAAAGAGCAGAGTTAGATGCCACGCATGTCAGTGGGACAGGAAGGACAGCGGCTGCCTTTAAAGGAGACAAGCCCCCGGCTCTTCTGCGTGGACCTCAAATTGCGTCTGACTCAGCCCAAGTTCTTAAAACTTTAAAAAAAAAAAAACAAAAACAAAAACAAAAGAGCTTTGTTCCTCGTCTCCTGCAATCTCCGTCTCTAACAGTTGATCAGCTGGAGTTAAGCAAACCAAAGCAGCAGGACTTGAAATGGTTTCAAAGTCTGCTTGGAACAAAAAGCTGAGTGTCTTTTTTTTTTTTTTTTTTTTTGGGAGAAATAAGAGCGGCTGGACTGAAAAAAATAAAAATGCCGAGATGAAGTCGACAGCTCTTTTGTTCTTCCTCTAGATATTTTGGTGAGTAAAATATCCCCTGCCAACGCACCTTAGGCTGGATGTAACCGGGACTGGTTTGTAACTGGATCTGATTTGCTCTGCAGGTTGGTGGGATGCGCCCAGGCCTTGGGCTCACGCATCTCGCTAAGAAAACACCCCACAAGTGAAAACCCAGAGGGGAAAAAGGGAGGAGAGAGAAAAATGAGGGCAGGTTAAACTTTTACAGTCAGATGCCACCAAAGTGTTAAAGCGAGTAATCTGGCAGTGAAATACGGTAACAGAGTCAGTTTAGGAGCGGAGATGCTGCAAAGAGGAGAAAGCGAAGAAGTCAGGAGGGGTCTCTAAGTGCATCATTTGGGGTGGGGAGCATCCACCTCCCATCCCCAGGTGATGCATTGCTGAGCACCGCATGCAGCCCATGGACTGGGAGAGCTGTTCCCAGGCCAGGGACCACCACCAGTGGGGCTATCAGGACCCCCATGACAGGAGAAATAGCAGAGCAAAGGCAAACGCGAAGGTCTCCGGCCATACCTCGCAGTCCCGGCAGAAGGGCTGAGGAAACTTCAGGCACTTGAACGGGCTGGAGGAATCTGCAGGTTTTAGAAGGAGGCAGGAGGAAGCCAAAGGGTGGGCTGGGTTTCCCGCTGCCTCTCCTCCTCCTCCTCCTCCTCCTCCTCCTCCTCGCTATCTTTCCAAATCGGTCTCTTCCTCTCTTCCCAGTGGGCAGTCCCACCCATCCGAAAGACAGGCTGAGGCACAGCCCGGGTCCAAAGGATAGACCAGAGAAATCAAGCTGGACTGGAGATCAAGAAGGTCTCTTGCAGGGACAGATCAGCCCCCGGCGCAACTTTCCCAGCAGAGTCATTGTCACAGCGGCTGCTTGCACTGCTGCAACGAGTTTGTCAGTTCTCTGGCTCTCTCAGACTGACAGCATAGGGGTAGCGGGGAGGGAGGAATACCATCTCTCTGCTTGGTTTGTGCACCTCCTAGCACCTTGGTCTACTGCAATTAAAATGTTAAATGCTGTCATTTCACAGTGGGGTAGTTCAGTCCCTGAGCTGGTGTTTCCCATCCTCAGGGGGAGGCAGAGGAAGGCGGGAGAGTCCTGTCTCCTCCATCCTCTCTCCAAACACGGCTGCTATCTGGGCCTGCCTTGTGGAGAGGGAGAGGAAAGAATGATCCAGAGAATGTGGAGAGTTATGACATGTCTGAAATATGCTCCAAGTAGGCAGAGAAATGCTGGGCTGGTAGATGTGAACCTCAGCTGACTGTTCTCTCTGCTGTGGTTATCATCCAGCAGATCTGGGCTGATTGAGCTAAACCCACAGTCAAAATTGCGTTCCATCGAATCCGATGGTCTCCTCAGACATCACTAAGTATTTTGACCTTACAGATCATAACTCAGCTGGAGCAGTTGCCCAGCCAGAAGCAGCCGGACAGCAAAGCTCTTTGGAGTTGACTTTTTCCTTCTGTTCCTCTCTGTGCTCAGGGTGAAAACCCAGCTCCTCTCTCCTTGCATCTCACCATGACTGAGAGGATTTAAGGTTCATCTGCTCCCCTGGCAGAACCAGATAACACACCTTTGTGCACCAGCATGGGCATGGCGCTGCATTGCAAAGTAAAACCAGCAGCTGAAAAGAGAGGCTGTCAAATCGCTGGAATTTGGGCATCCCTGAAGAGCATCTCCATGACACAGGGCTGTCCTGAGCACTGCAGATAGTGAAGCTCTTTGCAGCTTGTGACCCACCCCTGGCACCAACCCTCACCATGTCCAATGTTGCTCTCCAGGGGCTGGTGGAAAGGTGGTGGCTCGTGTAGCCAGCAAGACTGAGGACAAGTCATCTGGGCACCAGCACTCTGATTGCAGATGCTGGGTGAAGGACACCCAAGACCATAACAAAATGCAACATCGTGTTTTGTCTTGGCTGCCTCGGGTTTGGGTTCATTCCTCACGATTACACGCTATCTTTGAGAGAGGCTGAGACACTGATCTGAGTGCTTAACTCTTCCCACTGATGTTGCTGAGGATTTAGATGCCAACATGGGAACTGGCCTGTCACAACCTGCCGGGCTGTGCTGGCTCCTTGCTCTGCAGGATGCCTCTTACTTTATGATTTATGTTTCTTTATCAGCTCACTTCTCATCCAGCCTCACAGCACTTCTGCTGCATGTGAAAGAAGCAGAGGTAAGACTAAACATCCATATGGCCAACAAGAAACAAAAAATAAACAAAACAGAAAGGGAAAGGGAAGGGGAAAGACAGGGAGGGGGGCTGTGAGAAACCATTATCATTTCCAAGTGAGACGGTTGATCTCTGTGATCAGGAGGCTGGTTGTAAAGAACAAGAGAAGAAAATCTTCTTCACCCATTTCCTTACTTGGCTACACAACCACTCAAAAGCCATCCCTGGGTGCTGATGTTGATAACGCTCACAGAGACATCCATAAATACCACATGCGACCCTCTCAGGTCCCTGTGGAAGCCAGCCTTGTGATGGTGTCTAAGACCTCATGGGTCTTTCTAACGCAGCCAACCACCTGTGGCATCTGGAGCATCTTCTTTTCCCACCACAAGTGTCCACAGCTCCCACATGCAGCTCAGTGCCACTCGTAGGTCCAGTTTGGCTCCAGAGGTCACACATCCCCTAAGTCAAAGTTTCATTTGCTTGATTCACACATGGAGAGGTTGAATGCTCTCTGCGCTGGATTAGTCACGGCTCGCATTGAAATTGTACAGCTGCTAGTACTTCTCCTAAGGAAAAAAAAAAAAGACATCTGGAAAAAATTTTAGGGAGGAAAAAAAAAAAAGGAGAAAAGAAACCACTTCTTTTCTAACTGACAACGTGGCAATTGCTTAGTGCTCTTCACTGTAGCCTGAAGCTAAGCCCTCTTCTAAGGGCTTAAACAAATGACAGTGCCAGGAAGATAATTATAACAGGGATTTCTTTATATACGTGGCGACTTAAACCCTGGTTTTGAGTGAAAGCAAAAAGCAGCCTGCCGCAGTGATGCAGTCACATCTGGAAATGGCCCCTGAGCTCAAGGCGATGAGCCCCGGGTGGGTGGGAGTGAGGGGTCCTCACGGTCCTCCATGCACTTGGTGGGGACAGCCGGGTCCTGCATCTTGTGAGGGGCACGCTGCCAGGCGCGGGTGTGTGCTGTCAGCAGTGGGATGGAGAGGGATCGCACGGAGAGGGAAACAAGAGCCTGGAGCAACTGGCTGACTCTTTAATCTCAACAGCTTTAAGAAGCTCCAGAAATGACTGAGAGCTTGCAAAAGAAGTCCTGAAAAATCCTCTCCACACTTAGAAGGCTTAGTGGGGTCGTCATAGAGGAGATTTTGGTGTTGGGCTGCCAGGAGGAAAACTGGACCTCACTCATGCTTAGGAGGTCATCGTATGCCATCTGGGGCACTGGATGGGCAGGAGACTGCCCAAGGGGCCTCATCAGCCCCGGGAGCCCTGGCAGTGCTGCCCGCTCGAGCTCTCCGACCATGTGCCAGCAGCGTGGTTTGGGCACAGCTGATGCACCCCAGGGCTCCCGGCACTCGCTCCCAGCTCAAGTGACCCCACAAACTCCGATGGAAACAGTAATCAGGACAGGACCCCTTGAGGCTTGAGCTCAGTCTCCAGCAAAGCCAAGAGATTTGCAGGGCTGAGGTTTGAACTCCAGCTAACCCTAGGTCAAAATCCAAATTTCTTCATCCGATTTTAAGCGGATCTGGGCTGGTGCAGTTGAGAAAACCCCGGTGCTCTCCAAGAGGGGAACAATTCTGCTGCAAGAGAAGGAGGGAAACATAAGTGAGCAGCTTCGTGGAAGCGATACAAGTGTGGATTAATAATCCTGCCATCTCCTTCTCACAAATATGTCAGTCTTGGGAGACTTTCCTTCTCTCTGCTCTGGAAGGGATTCTCTAATTAGTTTTTCTGGAGAGGATGTTTTTGCATTAATTGCTGGTGGATGCTGCTGCAAAACAATGAACCTAAAGTGCATATAAATAAACAGGATGCCCTGGAACCACTGCGGGAATGTCATTTACTAAGTTTTCATCGCTGGGTGTATGGCTGGAGGCTGAGCTCCTTGCAGGCACAGGGCAGTGTGGGGAAAGGCAACAGCTGCCGGGGTGGGAACCCAGCACCCAGCTCAGGAAAAGACATGTGAGATGAGTAAGTGCAGAGCAGACAGGAATCTGCTTATCCCAGGAATGTCCCAGCACTCCTGCTCTCTGGGAGTGTGTCAGCAGGTCCTGCAGGAAAGTGTCTGTTTTTTTTTTTCCATTTCAGAAGCAGAGGCAGAAAGGCTGTGCTCTCTGGACTCGCACTAAGCAGATGCATGGGCACTGCAAGCACCATCTGCACAGGGCAGGATGAACCCAAACTCTCCTGGGAACTTGCCCAAGAGTGAGTGTCTTTGTCCTATGTGGGGTAAGGATTTCTTCTCAGTGGGATGGGACTATACCCCTGGGCTCAGCAGTAGACTGATGCCTAATTCAGATGGAGCAGACTGACACCCAGCCAAGGTCTCTTGGACCAGGAGAGCCTGAGCCTCAGTGCTCTGCGGATGGATTGGGGATGAGCTCGCTCAATGGGGCGATGCAGGCAAATGGGGTGCTGGCTCTGTCAGAAGCAGCTGGAGAAGGAACCGTGGATGTCATTGCAGATTTTCAGCTGTAAACCAGAGGCCTGAGGGGCAGGGGGTGGAAATCCAGCTGTGCATGGCTCTGTGGTGAGTCATGACCTGGGAGCAGGCTGCAGAGCCAGGAGGCAGGACATGCTTGCTGTGGGATGGCTTGTTCTTTCCATGGTGTGCGTGGACTCTCACAACTGTCCCCTGGGGTCTCTGGTGGAAGGTACTTCTCATGCCCTATGGGAGGGATCTCTTCCCCCACTTCTTTCAAACTACCCCTGCAATGATCACCTCACTCGCTTGGAAATATGTGAGGCTGCAGGCTTGGGAGAAGCCTGTCTGTCCTCCCTGAAACCAAACTGAGCCCAAAGAAGCAGAGGGGGAAAAAAATCCATCACCTTCTTCAGCCTTGGTGCAAGTAGGGAGCTCCATGTGCTGCAGCTACCCCTGCACTGCCCTGGATGCCTCTCGTGGGCATCAGATCTGAACATCGCAGCTGTGCCTGCTCCAGCTACATCCAGAATGGGGAGGCGGCGGGATATAACCCCTCTGGCCGTAGACCCCCACCGCATCTCTGCGGCAGAGTCCCCACAGCATTGCCTGGAGCCCTCACACCAGGCACCAGCAGACGGGACAGGTCTTCAGCCACTTTGAAGCTCCCATGCGTGGTCTGGGCACATCCAGCCTGGCTGCGCTTTGTCCCAGACCAATACCTTCAATATCCAAGGGACCTCATTGCCTTTCCTAAAAGGAGTTCTCCCTTGCTGCAGGGGGCTGTTCTCTACTAATCCTGAACACAGGGATGTTGTATGCCTGAATTACAGTCTGATGTCTGAGCCCAACTTTGTTTTTGCTCGAGACCTTGCGTTGGAGATGTGCCTATGACTTGCAGAAGACGCAATAAAGCTTCCAAGGGGGAAGCACAGCAAATGCCGCTAACGCTGGGC